GTTGAAACCAACTTCAATCGATGTATTTTCGGACGCTGATTCCGAATCACCCCCCATGACATAGGGTTAAAATGCTCCCCTGACGAGATATTGGCGAAAAACTGTCTCGATCACGTGATATGACCGTATAAGGAAGTTAGTCTTGTTAGGGTTAGGATTTCAGCAAATGCTTTTGTTATGGATTGGGTTAGGGTTAGGGTTGGGATCAGACTATATTGGTGATTGGACAGTTCAATATGCAATAGTTGGACTGTAACGCGCTCATCAAAATTTTAAATTTTTTTACAATTTGCAATTTACTAGTTGGCACTGATCTGCCTATCATTTTGTCAAATTTGATTCACATTGTAAACCGTTTACATCTATTTTGGCTTCCGGCGCGCACTTCGCTTCCAAAATGCACCGAATCAAATTACTTTCATACCCTTATTGTAGGTTTATAACCTACCAGGACGCGCGCCGAGTTAGACTCGTCGACGGTTGAAACAAATATTTTACGAGTATCACCCGTTAATACCCTCATATCAGGACCTTTTTACAAGAATTTTCTTAAAATTTGGGTGAGCGATTTAATTTAGTGGAACATGGAAGCGCAATCAACTAAATTTTAAATTAAAAAGCATAAGCTGTGAATCACAATAATAAATATATTGTCCTGGAAAGTAATCACAGCTTAAAAGCTAATATATTTTATATGAGCTCAATCACAATAATATAATAACTTGCCGCGCCCTCAGATTTAACTGTAGACATAAATTTTAAATATATCATGTATGAATCGCGTAAATAAAGCCGCGCGAAAGTGTAACATTTGCTGTGGAATAATATATTGATGAAGGAGCGCCTGCTCCATTCGACCATCGAGGACGATGTGCAAATTTTTGATGCCACAGGGAAGCCCGTGAATGACGGCGACCCAATAAATTCTTACATTGCCTAGTTTGATGTGGTGTTTTTCGCCTATATGGCTATATCAATGGTTAATAGTTGTTATTAACTTGTTCTGATAATCTTGATACACAAAGATTTATAACACAACTTCCTATCGATTAGATGCTGTTGAGTGTTACTTTCTCAGCTGTTTATTTGTCTAAGCCAATTTATTGGCACAACATTTTGTTTGACGATACTTCCGCCAACTCGAATTGCTTCTCTGTATGCTTCCTGTCACTTACGGAGACTAACAAAGTAATAGTAACCCATTCAAAACAAAGTTCAATCCTGTTTCCCAGTTCTTGAATCAATGTTGTTTGATGTGTCGTCATTAAGATCAATGTCTGCTTTCGGCCCATCTCCTTTCAACAATATATAACTCTTTTAGCTTGCCAAGCACAACCTACAGATCTGCTTCAAAGTACTTTAAAAGCTGTGATATTCGAACACCTTACCCGCAAATCTGTTGACAGCTTAGCACACCAACTCTAATTTCGTATCCCGTCACGTGTAAAATTCCTATCGTTTGATTGGCTGTTTCGATCACATGAAAGATCTATAACTTTGCTGAGTGGCCAGTTTGCGGGAATGAAATAGCTGAACTCACAGATTTTCATTGAACGTGCGGACCTTTGCTCTGTGTCCTTGGCCTTGTGTGTACGGTTTCTTTGCATTAGGTCGAATGGAATGGAGCCATACCATTTCTTAGCAGCTTTTAGGAGACTAGCTAATATTACTGTATTTTTTGGATTCCAGGAGGACTTTCTTTATTTATTATTTTGCAGTTATTGGAATCGTCTCAAGCCTTTATCCGCTGTGCACGTATCCGTTCGTTTGTGGCTCTGTTATTCACGTAACTAACTATTCTTTACCAAACTTTGACGTTCTGAACCTCAGTCATTTCTCTCAAAGATCCGGACGCTGAAAAAAGATCCGGATGTGGAAATATTTAACTTAGGCATTGAACTACGGAAAGAAATTGTTTGTCACTGATTTTCACGTCGCCCTACTACGCTTCAGTTTATAACCAAGTCCTAGCTTCAATCCACAGTCTGTCAAGCGAATGTTATATTTCAAGACCACGTAAAATTGTTAATTTTTGTATCAATTTGTCTGGCCCGCCAACTTCCTGAACTGTCCAAATTGTCTTTGTGCCTTTAACATTGGTCGTCTGAGCGGGTAACCCGTTACTTCTCCATTTATTTCTTTGTTTGAACGATTGTCTTTACTGATGATTTTTTTATTACATATTGATACCTACCCCAACCTCATATCACGGGACTTTGATCTTATTTGTGATTTTACACGAACTGATCGATTTTCTTAAACTGCAAGACAAAAAAGTGGTATGATTTGGACTTCTTCGGCTGACTCGAACCTCTGGATTTTGGCCAACTCATACTTCCTTGTTATTTACTTTTATAAAACCATAATTAACAATCGTATCGATTTGTCTGAATTTTTACCTCTTACCTTAACATCCTGTGTTAAGTGCATCTCATTCAGATTAAGGGGTACTTTGTTCGGATCGCTGTTATTGTTCCATAAGTTACATTTTTTTCACATATAAGTTAAATATTTGATTTACTAGGAATGTTCCAGTGCAGTGATGAGACATTCTCTGGTCATGTAATAATCGGAGAATGTCTCTGAAATACTAACAAAATGACAAATTATTAGAACAATGATAAATTAAAACTGGGTGTGTGAACGTACAGGGCTGTATAATAAACGATTTTAGCCGGATCATGTTCACTTATCGTTACTAAGCGACCAAGATCAAGAGACAGTCCTCCCAAATTAAGGGACATTATCTTTATCAATTGGTGTAATTCGATAATCTGCTAATCACTTGATAAATGCTCGATAATTGATTGGTATCATCATGATTATTAGTTCTAGGGTGTGGATGTATGGTGAAAAGGTCTGTGGCGTGTCATGCGATCTCTCCAACCGCTTATACCCCCGTTATCATAGGTAAATAATTCTTTATTTCGCAATTTTCTTCTCATCAGCCATAAATTTATTTACCAGTATCATATCCAATTTTGGTCGTTAAATTTACAATTATATCGGTTGTTGTAATCAGTAATGTTTGTAGTCAATAAAGTCAACGCGGTTATTGTAATGAAAAACGTTTCATTTTGGTCATTTAAGGTTTTGATTCGTGTATACTGTATACAATTGTTAGCTCAAAATTGTTCTTGTTATATCTGCAAGGTTCCCCTGACTAATTTGCATAACACTTATAATTTCATAAATAATCATGTACATCTGAATTTAATTGAGTACATCAACTCGGTTATTTTAGCTAATTCCTAACAAAATTTCATTAAATTAATTAAGAAACAGCTGGTATCCTATGTCAAATGAAAATTGGTATAGTGGGTTTAGCTAGGGCAATCAATTACTAATTAGGTATGTAATTACTAATTAATCTTTAAATAAACATGAACTCAATCTATGGAGAACTCTATCAATATAATTGATCTTTATTTTTGATTTGATTGTTTTCTATTGCAGGCCTTGAGGATAATCATACGAAGACATTTTATGGAGCCATTCAATTTACATGGTGAGTTTTATCAGAGTTATTAGCTTATTTATTCCAATTTTCTTTTAAAATATTAATTTTAAAGATTTCTAAATTAAGTGAGCATTTCTAATTTAACTTATCTTGTTAATTTTATCCAGTTAGTATATGATTGGCTTTATTAATCCGTCATTGCTAATAATTTTGTCCCTTTCTAGGACATCCCCGCCCACGGAATCTGCCCTCGTGTGGCAGCATTGAAGGAACGTAGCCATGATATAGCAGCTCAGCGACCGGTCCATCGTCCAGAGAGAGAGTCTGCAGCCCGTATCAATACACACCAGTTCCCATTGATCACCCAGCTACCCAAGGGCTGATTTTAGTGTAACGACTTTACCCCTAATGGAGATTGAACACTTATTTTGAGTACATTGATTGGTGCTTGCATTATTTACAGTCCTTAATTAACTTTTTTTTATAATTGGTTATCTTCCAGATATAAATTCCATCTTCAAAGTTCGAAGTTAATACTCTAGACATTATTTCCCCCGCAAAGTTCGAAGGTCCATAATTTATAACATAAATTCCTGTCCATAAATCTACCATTGTAGCCCACGAGAGTTTTGGGTTTGAACTCTGCCCTGAAGTGAGTCTCAAACCGGGGTGGTATTCCATAAATATCGAACCCTGAATATCCATACTCCTAGTTAAAAGGAGCCAATATAACGTAGTTAAATTAATACCATCACAAGTTAATGAAATATAATAAATAAAAATAATCTCTAGAAGTCATGGAAAATTGGAGCAGTAAATAGCCGTTAAGTAAGTTGTCGGCTGAAACCCGAGTACGGCTATCTGTAAAATAACAGGGAAATGTGTTAAATAGTTAAATAATAAGGAAATGTGTTAAATAGTTAAATAATAAGGAAATGTGTTAAATAGTTAAATAATAGGGAAATGTGTTAAATAGTTAAATAATAGGGAAATGTGTGTTGTTTGTGGATTTAACACTTGTTATTGGGGGTGTGCAGATGTGAACTTGAATTTTTTGTTGTTGAAAATAAATGAATATACATATTTACTTTTAGCATTCACAACATTACATGGTTTGACATCGAAAACATACCCAAATGTATACATGTATAGTATATTGTATATTCAAGCCATTCAATCGAGACTTAGTGCACCACGGGCTTTATACTGTAATATGACAAGAGAATATGAATTGTCCAAATCGGGTGTTTTCTTTTGGAGCCACTGTTTTTTATTAAATAACCGAATAATATAATGATATGATAAAATATATGTTCAATGAACATTGTTCATAGAATATAGATAACCAGTACATGGTACTGAAAGTTTGCTGACCACTATAATTATCATTAATACCATTTTCCATTCAAAGCCTTGTTATGAAATTTGTAAAGATTTAACATACAAACCCAACGGTAATCAATATTCAATATAACAACAAATTCGTCACTCTACATAGCTAATTAATTAACTAATTGCCCGTCCAGACGGAATCAGATGCTGTACGAAGTGTAAGGTACGCCACAGACGAGTCAGGACAACCTGCTTACGTGAGATTTGAAGACAGTATTATAGCTCCTAAGCTCGTTATAAAGGTTTGATAAGAGTATTATGATTAATTATATTATATAATATATTATAGATAATTATTATTATAAAAGTTTAATACCACTAGGGTGTTATTATCTGTTTAATTCGATATAAATGAAATAAAATATGCTAGATCAAAATTTGATATATACATTATACGCTAGCAAAACTCTAAATTTGCTTTCAAAACTTGATATACACAAGCAGAACTCTGAACAAAACTTGCAAACAACATCAATTTTACTCACTGAACAATAATAACAATTATATAAACTGACACTCCCAATTTCAGAGTCGATCTGGGAGTATAGAGCCAGGACACTATAGGCAACTAAGCGACGGGTCAGCTCCTGACGATTCAGTCGGCGAGTGAGTCACCTTATCTGACGTCATGACACGTGGTTTCATATCATGACGTCACGTACTCACGTGGTTTCATATCATGACGTCACGTGGTTTCATATCATGACGTCACGTGGTTTCATATCATGACGTCATATGATTTGGATATAGTATTTACGCGTGCCCTACGCAGTCGCGTGGCTTTTCAAATGACTTAAAGTGCTACTTAATAAATCGTTAGTTCTCAGTAACCTAATACTCCAGCTTCAACCACGAGACATTTTATTTCAACTTTATTTCATGACAGCTCGTGGATTTTCTTGTTTTAACGATTTTTTCGGAACTGGTTCAAGGAACAGCTACAGAAACGATCCTTTTTAAAGTTCCGACAGTTTAACTTTAATACTTATATTTGAGTTTCCTCAAGCAGCTAAAGATCATGTTAAAGTTATCTAAACTGTATAATTTTACTCGTAAACAAATTATCGATCGCATTTTCATTCCCTCAGTGCAAGTGGTTTCAGATCCTATCATATATTTTTGCGGCAAATTGTTTATGGTTAGATTTTTAATTTTTGGTATGTTAAAGTAATTTTATCTGAGACTCGCAAGATTTTTAATGTGTTATTTGTCCGCATAATTAAAGCGACGTCTATCTTAATTCTTTGCATATTATGGTTTTCAGAATTGAATCAATACCATGAACTGAGATAGTTATTCAGTGCAAGTGGGTATTTTCTCATTTCTGACAGGATATATTTTTCGTAAGTTCGAAATATTTCCAAGTCTTCAACAACAATTAATAAAATTTCGTCTTAACTAATTAAGGAGCTCGAGCCCTTTCCTTTAGTGGAACTTTTTATAGATGTAACAGAAATATACTAGCATGTAACATTTGTATGGAATAATATTTTTGGAAGGGCGTAGTTTACAGATGAACTCAGTGTGTATATTTTGTTACCGAAATTTGTTGTTACCGAAATTTTTTGTGATGCAAGAATGTGTTTTGATATTTTGTAGTTAATGATTTGTTGTTGTTAAATCCTGTTATGATGTTTAATACCTTCTTTTTATTATTCAGATCGCTTGTACATCCTTAATGTATTCGTAATTATTTATTGAGCTCACTTATAACTTGATAATTAAATTCAAATAATTATTTAATGAGCTCACTTATAACTTGATAATTAAATTCAAATAACTCCGAATAATTAAAAGATCTGACATATTAAATATTATCACAATATACTTCTTATTTCAATATTTCTGCTAAATCCATTTTTATGACAGCTAAGTTGTGAATTGTACATCAAAAGATATAACTCCAATTCTACTCAGTACTTTTACGTAATATTAATACAAATTAATGACGAAGAAACATCAAGAAGATCCTCTTCTTCTCTATTTAGAGTATAATATATGTAACATATTTACCTTAAAAGCGGCCACGGGGTGCCGTTTTTTTTTGGGTCCGGATAAAAATGTTGCAACTTACACCAAAATAAATGAGCAGAACACACACCCTCTGACACAATCAATTTGTCACACAGTTAAAATCATATAATTTGTAATTAGATTGATGAGCCAAGTTTCAGGAATTGGGTTAATGTGAGGATGAGTTGATACGTGGATAAAAATTTTGAACCGAATGAAAATTCCCTTCCAGCCACATAACAGGCATTTTTATGTCCCAAATTTTGCAAGGGTTTTGGTACACTTTTGCCACACTTACTTTTAATAGCTAAGGTCCGAATAAGTTGGAATAAGGTAAAATAGTACTGTTAAAAATGGGGGCTGTGCCACAAAAACTGAGAACACAACCTCTGGCTGATAAAAGGAGATGTTTTGAGGCGATGTTTTCTCAAAATTTGTGGCGGCCCCCATATTTTTGCCCCCATTTGTGGCGGATTTTACCCCCATTTTCTGAGAAAACACCCTCTGAAACATCTACTGGATAAAGGGCAGTCAGAGAGCACGTTTCCTTGATTTGTGTAGTGGATTGGTAGTGGATTTCACAGTTGTAGTGGATTTGTGTTCCGGGGTAGGTTGGAACATGTTTTGGTGGTTAAATAGGTAGTATTTGACCTAAACGATCGGAAAAACTGAGTTTCGACCTCTTGACCCACTCAGGCCACGCCCATCCCAAAATTACGGAAATCCGGGTAAAATCAAGACCGAAAATCTTTACCCCCGTAGCGCATTTATATTCCAGGGTAAGTTGGAACATGTTTTGGTGGTCAAATATTGTAATGTACGCGCGGCGCGTAAAATGTACTACAAAATCCACTACACATTTATAAATATGAGCACATTTATAAATACGAGCAGTTTGGTGAGACTTCTGACGGCTACCGTCGTAGATGGTGAGCGGACTGAATCACTACCGGACTGAATCCCTAACGGACTGAATCACTACCAATCACTATTGGTAGGGATTGAGGTATATTTTCGGACTGAATCACTACCGGACTAAATCACTACCGCTAATATCTAGACCTAACCACTTTGATGTGATCCCTACTGAACTTTGCAATAAAGGCATAATTATTCGTATTTCATTAGTTAATTATTTTATTTTTTGTTAATTATTATTAGATTTTTCGTGATAATTGACTAAGCAGAAATTTGGTCAAAGAATAATAGATAATATACTGATACAGTAATTTAAATCACACAATAATAAGTAAACATTAAAGCATTAACCCAAAATCTTAGATCCAACAGCTTTCAGAAACTCGGTAACATCCCTAAAGTTATCATAATCATCAACAATACGCTGAATCTCCAGGTCAAACTTCTCCCACTTTTCTGCTCTCTTGAAAGGTCTTCTGGTGAGGATGTTGGTGATCTTCACGTCTGTCAAAGTCTGCTCCCTCTTGATGCACTCTAAGTACTTCCAGATGGAAGGGTTGTGACAGTTGACCAAGGAGGCGAAGCCGCTGTTCCAACCCTCTGCGATGTTGCTGGAACGAGGTAGTAACATCTGGGACGCTTCGTGGTGATTCCAGGAGTCGTGCCTGAAGGGAGGAGGGGTGGAGGTGGTTCCGATCCATGTCGACTCAAAGTATCTTGCGAAGGCAGTCATCTCAGCAGGAAGAGAAGGTTTGAGAAGCCGCCACGCCTGGTCCACATCACAAGGAATACAAGGAATACAAGGAATACAAGGAATACAAATTTAAAATCTTAAGCTACAATAGTAACTGTTAAGATAATAACAATATCATAAGATTTGAATTTATTATATTAATATAACTTAAACTAAAGTGAAACATAAATATTTTGACAAAAAATATTTTGTTTACAATCGCCTTGGTAATGCTCTAATGCTTGAGCCAGGCCACTTTGCACTCTTTGTTGCGCGAAAAGAAAAAAAGCGCTGGTACAGTGATTTTCAGTGTTCATGTACTGGCCAGAGAGTCGACGAATTTCTTGCGGTTGTTAAAACACGTAGTGGCAAATCTAGCAACGACTCTCGTGAGGTGGACTTGACTTTCATTCGTGATTAATTCAATGATTTCACTGTTGCTGCTGATGAATTTGAGGACGTTTGCTCCAGGGATGACAGTGTAAACAGAACAAGATGACGCAGATGGTTTGATTGAATTTGATATGATTGATTGGATCTTGTCTAGGACTTTTCGCCTTGATGCAGCGTTAAGATCACAATGGTTAAGGAAGTGATCTTCATTCTCAATAATACCAGAACCTAAGACTATATTGCACCAGGAGCATATTCGCTCATCGCGAGGAGTTTGATTGTATCGGCCAAGTTCAATTTCGAGTCGATGTGCACTGATCCGCAGTCTTGTGATATTAGCACGGTCTGCATATTTAATGACACTGTCTAGGTAATACTCTTTGTTAAATTTGGATTTTAGGTCACGATAGAATTCTAATTTCCGAGAAGTGTTGATACAGGACCCCCAATATTCTCTAAAGCTACTTTTCAAAGTTTTAGTAATGACGTGTGGTGTGAATATTTTACTCCCGATGGGTTGTGTTGATTGCGGAGGAATTCGTTTCTTGAAACCGTTGTGAATAAGAAAGTCCTCTTTTGGTGGTTTTGCGATACTCGGGTTTCTTTCGAAAATTGACTTGGAGTGATTGTTTTTGAGTGTGCGGTAGGCTGTGACATGATCGGTAGAGAAACATGGGTCTAGCGCGAGGACAGGCTCCAAACCCCTGTACCAGTCCAATTTCATGTTCATCTGTTCTTTGAAAGCTAAGGATACAAGGGAGTTATCTTTGAGATTTTTCAAGCGTTGGGTATATTTGAGAGTGAGGTTAATACATTCATAGATTAATGGGTAGCGGCCTGACTCACCCCAGACGCCTGCGTTGCTGGTTTTACGATTTACACCCAGTGACCATTTAAGAAAGTGAAGGTGAACTTTTTCGCTGTTCAGAAGACTAATTTTCTTGAGGATACTAGTTTGAAATTTTGTTTTTGTGTCGGGATCCATATTGAGATCGACTTGTTTTGTTATGTGTTTTATGATAGCCATATTAGGTGTGTAAATAGGCGCTCCGTAAAGAACGATAGGTTTAATAAGAGCGTCAAAGAGTGTTGTTAGAGAACGGAATGATAATTTGGATTTGTTTACTGAGCTTTTCATGCCATAAAGTGCACGCATGGCTTTCTTTTTGAGCTCAGTTCGGGCATTTGTGAATGTGCCGGATTTGTGTATTTCGATTCCTAGATAACAGTATGACTCGACTTCTTCTAACAAGTGATTACCAATTTTGAGGGGAACCAGCTGATAATTATCGAAGCGGGAATTAAATTTCATGAGTTTAGTTTTATCTGCATTAATTTCGACGCCCCATTCCAAGCAGAAATTGTTCAAAGCATCGAGTTGCTTTTGGAGGGTTTTGGGGTCCAGTGCCAAGAGTATCAGATCATCTGCCCATAGTAAGTGACTGATAAGTTGGTTCATTAGTTTCGGACAGTTATCATATTCTAGTCGAGGGGAAAGATCTCTGATGTATATTTTAAAAAGATCAGGGGAAAGTGGATGACCCTGTTCAGTTTCTTTATTGATATCAAATTTTTCGCTGACAAATCCAGATAGTTTTATCTGGCCAGTGGAATTTTTATACATATGTTTAAGAACATTAAATGTTTTGCCAGTGATACCTAGTTTAGCTAACTTTAAGAAAAGAGCTTCACGACAAACAGAGTCGAAAGCTTTCCGGAAGTCCACAAAAACAGCATAGACGGGAACCTTGAGCTTTTTGTATTTAGACGTAATGGTGTTGAGTGTGAGTATGTGGTCATATGTTTGAGCTCCTTTAGCGAAGCCAAGTTGATTTATGGGGTCCGGGTTGTATTCATTTTTGAACTTGATTATCCTGTTTAGCATAATGGTCGAGAATAGTTTCCCGATTGTACTACTCACAGCAATTGCTCTGTAATTGTCGGGATTATCTTTGTCGCCTTTTTTGTGTAGGGGTGTTATGATGCTGTTGTTCCACGGGTAAGTTCCAGTGTCCAAACAGCGGTTAAATACTTTGCAAAGGAGTTGTGTATTTGTTGTGGACAAGGTCTTCAGTATTTCATTGCATATCATATCCTCCGAGGAACTTTTGCCGTTTTTGAGTGAAGAGAGCGCAGTAGATATTTCGTCCACAGAGATCTGGCCATTGAGTATTGATTGTGCAGGGGATGGTTGGCACTTATTGTTAATAGCCTCTGCATTTTGAAGCATTTCTTCCTTATTCTCTACAGTTATGGTGCTATGTGCATTGGCATAAAGTTTACCAAAGAATTTTTGAAAGTTGTCCATGTCATGGCAATCAAATTTGTCAACTCTTCCTTTAAATTTTTTCAGTTTTTTGAATTGTTTCCAGTTAAGAATTTTACCAGATTCGATATCTGTATTCAGTTTGTCAAGATATTTGTTTTTGGTACGGTCAATTAAACTTTTGTACGTATTTTTTACTTGGTAAAAATTTTTTCGAAGATAATCGCTATTGGGGAAATCAGAAACAATTTGAGCTGCACGAGTACAGGATATTTTAGCTTCTCTAGTGGCTTGTGTGAACCAGGGTTGTTTATTTATGGATCCCTTTTTGGTTATTTTGGGATGTTTGGTCTTTT